ATCTGAGCTATACTACTGTGAAGGCATTTACTAAAACAAGCATTGGATCAGGAGGGAGGCATAATCTATGCCACATACTGGTGGGGATATTTCCAATTGCGAAAATATGTACTTTTGAAACCTAGACCAAATTAGCAAGACTGTGCTTACGAATAAAAATAAAAGGATCAAATTATTTTGTAAACCGTGGTAGTTTACATAAAATATATAAAATAGAACCCTTCAGATTTTAAAGAAAGTCCCAAAGATCCAAAAACTCTAGGGTGAAAGAAATGAAGATATACCTTTAACACCAGTTAATAGACTCATTGGTGAAATATTAAGTGGTGCTTCCTGTTGGGGGTGGGGTGAAAATGCCAGAGAGCAGCTTGGCTTGGAGTCAGCTCTGGGGTTCAGCCAACATTGTCAAGTCTCGTTTTTCAACTTTTTCATACACACATATGACTGGTCTCTGATGATAACCTCATGCTGGCTAAATAGCGCCAGATGAGCCTAACCCACAGGTCACAGTGGGAGTGTTCATTCTTAAGGGAAGGTGTCACTTCCCAGGGACAGGAAGAATGGAGTCCTTTTTTTCAGGGTATCTGTGTTCTCTGGGGCTTCTCACTTATGGAGGCCCAGCCTCCAGCCTCTAGCCTCCAAAACTGACTCCTTTTCCCTGCCTATGCTCTCAGTGATCCTCTGCCCTTGTGCCCTTCCTTTAGACACTTATTTGGGGTTCCTGCAGAGCCATCCAGTTGGATGCCCAGGCTCTGAGGCCTCATAGTCCACCCTGTGGACCTTTCAAGGTTTCTTTTTTTAAATCAGGATAGAAAAGATTCCAACTTATCACATATATTTCTTTCTTTTTGTGTTATTTTTTTTTTAAAGTCACTTGGGATTTTTGTTCTATTTTTAACTTAAAGAAAGTAACAGAAAATGTACATACATTTTCTTTAGGGACACTCTTGGCAACTTCATGGTTTGGCCTTTAATTATTATTTATTGACTATTATTACCTTATCTCTTTTTAAAATTTCTTTATTTTTATTTTTTGTAGTTGCAGATGGACAGGATGCCTTTATTTTATTTATTTTTATGTGGCGCTGAGGATCAAACCCAGTGCCTCACACATGCTAGGCAAGTGCTCTGCTACTGAGCTACAGCCCCAGCCCCCGCTTATCTCTCTTAACAGGGCCAAATCTGGGCTTTGTGAAGCCTGACGCTTGTTTATGAGCTTCAAAGTGTTTACTTTTTTTTCTGGGAGCCTTTTTTAAGGGAAAAAAAAAAGAAGAAGAAGAAGAAGACATTTCAAAATTATAAATGCAAAATTAGGTACAGATAGAGGGGAATATTTATAATGAGAGAAGAAATCACCACAAATGACAAGTTTTAAATAGCTTGCCAATTAAAACATCACAAAATCTAGAAAAAAAGAATCATGGTTGGCAAGCACTCTACCAACTGAGCTATATCCCCAGCCTGCTGATTTGAATTTTTCTAATGAGAGTGATGTTAAACATATTTTCCTGTGCCTATAGTCTGTTTGTATATCTTTGGAGAAATATCTATTCAAATCATTTGCCTCTTTTTAAATAAAGGTATTATTAATCTCTTCTCAGATATGATTCACAAATATTTTCTCCCATTCTGTAGGTTACATTTTCTTTCTAAAAAATATTTTTGATTTTTTAATTGACACATAGCAATTAAATATATTTCTGTAGTGTGATGTAGTATCTGTTTTTGTTGTTGGTATTGTTTGGTTTGAGACAGAATCTTACTGTGTTGCCCAGGCTAGCTCAAACTTCTGGGCTCATGGGATCACTTGCTTCAGCCTCTTAAGTAGCTGGGACTATAGGCACCCACCACGGTGCCCAGTTTGATAGTGTCTTTTGATGTATAAAAGTCTTAAATTTTGTTGAAGTCAAGTTTATCTATTTTTTTTGTTGCCTATGTTATTATTATAATTTTACTTGTGAAATTATTACCACATCTAATGTCATGAAGCTTTTCCCCTGTTTTCTTCTAAGGGTTTTATAAGTTCACCTCTTATGTTTAGGTGTTTGGTTCATTTTGAGTTAATTTTTGCATGCAATGTGAGGTGATGATCCTACTTCATTGTTTTGCATATATATATGCAACATATATATTGCTGGGAAAACACTATGATAATCAATTGACTGAAGGGTTATATTTGGATTCTCCTTTCTGTTCCATTAGTGTACATTCATGTCCTTATGCCAGTGCTATTTTGATTACTGTAGCTTTGCAGTAACTTTTGAAATCGGGAATAGGAGCTCTCCAACTTTGTTCTTATTTTAAAGATAATTTTGGGTCATCATTTTGTCAAATTCTGCAAAAAAGCCCGCCAGGATTTTAATAGAGATTGCACTTTTTTTTTTTTGAGACAGGGTGACATTGTGTTGTTCAGGCCTCAAACTATCTTCCTGCCTCAGCCTCTTTTTCAAAAATTTTTATTATATTTTTGTTTTTTTGGACTAGGGATTGAATCCAGAGGCACTTTATACCACTAAGCTACACCCCCAGTCCTTTATTTTAAGACAGGGTTTTGATTAGTTGCTGAGAGTTATGCTGAGTTGCTGAAGCTGACCTCTAACTTGAGATCCTCCTGCCTCAGCCTCCCCAGTCAATGGAATTATAGACATGTACCACTTTGCTCTGTACTTCAGTCTCTGGAGTAGCTGGAATTACAGTTTGCACCACTGACTTTGGCAGTATTAAGCCTTTTAATTCTTGAGCCTGGGGTGTTTTCCCATTTATTCTGTTCTTTAATTTCTTTCAGCAATATTTTGTTCAGTGTACAAACCTTCTGCAACTTTTGTTGAATTTATTCCTAAGTATTTTATTCTTTTTATGCGAGCCATAATTTCCATTTCAGATTGTTTCTTGCTAGATAAAAATATTATTGATTTTTAAATATTGATTTTACATCCTGCAACCTTGTTAAACTCGTTTATTAGCTCTAATACTTTTTGTAGTGGATTAGCCAGGATTATCTATATATACGATTTTGTCATGTGCAAATAAGAAAGGAACAATCAAACTTTCTTTATGTGGATATCTTTCATTTCTTTTTCCTATCCTGGCTAGACCCTCAGGTATAATGTTGAAAGAATTGGTGAGAGCAGACAGCTTTTTGAAAGGGTACTTTTGATAGGGTTAAAATACCTGTGGTCAACAGTTACCAATCCTGTCTGTTGATTGTAGACAAATTATTTACCGTTTCCTTATCTAGAAAATCAAGGACATCAATATATGTTCTGGCTACCTCACAGGGTTCTGAGGATTCAAGAAAACCACCATGAAGCTAGCAAACTTTACAGTGTATATGGGTGAAGTGTCTACTCTTTAGGAGCTCGTAAGCTACCTGGGAAGGCAAACTATGCATGTAATTATAAAAGCAAGATAACACGTGCTTAGAGTGATTAGGGCTATGGATGGAATGTTTTGGTACACCATTAATTTCTGTGGCAAAAACAGTTTAGTGTTACATAGAGAAATGGCTTCAAAATTTAAGATACCAGTAACATGGGCCGCCATCCAGATTGGTTTGGATTCCATTTCATTTATTCTTTATTATAAATTAATATATTTATAGCATAACTAAATCCAACCCTTGTCCTATGCAAAATATAACAGATCTTGTTTTATAGAATTTTACTACAATTTTGCATCTGATCAGTGTCCACAGGCAAGAAAAGAAAATCTGGCAAATTAGGGATTGCATTTGTTTTCTTTTCATTTGGGTAGCTTAGGTAGACTGTATAGTATTGTTCCAAGCACTCCTTATTTGAGATTAGCTTGATAATTTTTCCCTATGGGTCCTGCATTTTGGATTATAAACATGTGAGAATATAGTCCATGACATAGCGGATGGGTTCATAAGTTCCTTCCGGGTTCTAACACAGAATCATGCTGATGATTTGTCAACAGGCTAATCTTGCCACATTTAGTGCTGCCCAGTAGCTGTGCTGTCGGTGGCACTGCGTAATCTTTGTCTTTGCTGGTCGATTTCAAGGGCTCCAATGGCCAAAGAGTGGTTGGTCGGGATGTGAGGAAGCCTAAATGCTTGTGGGTACTGATGCTGCAGGATCCTGTGAATGAGTTTCTTAGAGCGCCTCCCTCAGAGGGTGGGAAGAAGCTTCCACTCCCACCCCCTCCTCCCTCCGCGGAGATATAGCCACACCTTCCCCCTATCGGCACGGAGCAGGTGGCCAAACTCTCGGGACATCGCGCCGCCGCTGCCGCCACCGGTGGCCTGGCCCGTTCGTGTGTCACGTGACACGGGTCAGCTGAGCCGCCGGGACCCCCAGGCACCGCAGCAGCGACCGCCCAGCGCTAGGTCTTGAAATCTCATCTTTCCTCCGCCCCTCCTCCCACAATCCCGGAAAAGGGGGAGACCGGTGACGTCATCATCCGGGCACTCGTCGGCGGGGCCACGGTTCACAATGGAACAAAACAAGCGTCCTGAGTCAAACCCAGCGACGCGGCTGCAGCTCACGCGATTAACCCTGTCCTCGCCATATACCCAGCCAGTCCCCACCGCCCAGCCCCTTCTTCAGCGTGGTATGCTAGATGTTCTCGGGCCTCCCATCCCCCCCTTTTCGGTCCGTCCTCGTGCCACCTCTGCCCTCGTTCAGTTCCCAAGCCGAGGGGTATGGAACACTTTGTGGCCGTAGCATGACCCTGGAGGGGCTGGCCGGAAGAAACGGTACTGCGTGAACAATCTTTACCGCATTGTCTCCCCCTCCCCCAACCGGCTCTCAGGGTTCTGGGCGTCTTTCGCCAGGCCCGGCCCCCAGGCGGCTCACGCGGTTCTCCCAGGCTCTGCAGCCCGGGTGGAGGGGGAGAAGGGGGTAACTGAGTGAGGGGGGGCTGGGTAGGGGCAGGGGGAGGATCGAGAGGCGGGGTCTTGAGGGGGCGGGGTCTTGAGGGGGCGGAGAACCTCGGGGCTTTGGGCGGTGCTGGGGGTAGTGGGAGTCTGCGCCGCCGCCACCACCGCTGCTGCTGCCGCCGCCGCTACCGCCGCCGCCACTGGTCGAGCGGTTTTTTTTTTTCTTTTGGTTTGCCGGATCCGCCATATTGACGAGGACGGGTATCCGCGGCTGCGGAAGCTAGTCTCCGCTGCCGCCGGAGCTGCAACCTCTCCTCACCCGGCCCGTTTGGGCCTCTGCCGCGCCGAGCCCCTCCCCGCCTTGCACAGCCCACAGGCCTCGCGGGAGACCGCTGCACCGCCTCTCTCTCACGGGAGGCGGCCGCCTTAGCGCCCGGTGCTCGGCTCGGCGCCGGGAGCGAGAAGGTAGCCGCAGCAGAGCGACCAGGCCTGGAGCAGGACAGAGGCGGCGTCTAGGGGAAGGTGAAGGTGCCGCTGCAGGAGGAGGAGCGGGAGGAGGTGACGCAGGAGAAACGCACCGCCCGGAGCCCTTCAGAGCTCAGCTAGAGCCCCAGCCCGAGGGGAGAAGGGGGAAGAGGGCCGCTGCCGGCCGAGGAGGAGGAGGAGGAGGAGGCGGCGGCTGCGGCCACCGCTGCTGCAGGGTGGACACGGTGAGGAGCGAATTCCAGCGCTCGTGTGCAGCCCCTTAGTTTTAACGCCTGCACTCCCGAGCCCGGTCGCCGCAGCCTCTGGACACTTTGTCGCCCGTCACCCGCGGGCCTGGGATGCTCCCAGGTTAGGCCTTGCCCCGGGACCGAGGTTTGCCTCCCTTTCTGCGTCCCGCCTCCGCGTGTCCCGGTTCTGAGAAGAAGACGCCTGTGTCGTGCGGTGAGTAGCCAGCCGCGCCGGGGCGACGCTCCTTTCCGGGGCCAACAGCTGGATGTGGGTGAAGGGAGGGGGGGTGTGTGTGAAGTCCCTCCCTCAGTGTCTGCCGGTCGGGCTGGGGGCTTCCCCGCGGCCCCCTCTCGGTCCGGGCTGGCCGGCCGAGCGCGGGGTTGTGTTCTCTGCTTAGCCGGTGTCCCGAGAGCGTGTCTGTGTGTTTTGGACTGTAAGGGAAAATGGCTGACGGCTCCGTCCCTCCCCCTCCTCCCCCTCCTCCCCCTTCCCGTCCTGTCTGGGGCCGAGTAGGAGGATGGAGTCTCCGGGCGCGGCGTGCAGCCCCCCCCCCCCCCCCCCGTCAGCGCCGGGGGCCGGGTCAGCGCCGGGGGCGAGCCGCCCCCGCCCGGGACCTTGCTGCCCCGCGGAGTCGCGGCCGCTCTTCTCCCCAGTCTCTTTCCACTTGACACCAAACGCCATTACTGAGGTGGAGTGATTTGGAGCGGTAGGCCTCGGCTACGCCTGGCTATCAGGCCTGACGACTTGTCCGCCTCCCCCCACCCTCCCGCGATAACCCGCAGCTTCTCCGCGGCCCTGTGGTCTGGAAGTCGGAGCCGGGTTATCGGCCCCCGGCACCTCCTTCGCCCCCCTTCGTTGCCCAGGGCCCGAGCCGCGAAAGATGTTTTGATGCAGAAATCGCTTCCAAGTGAGCTTGGACCTACCACCTTTCTATTTTTAACTGTTTCTGCGAAAATATTAGCATGTGAGAGTTTGTTAGTGATAAAACCTTGAGATTCTTGGGGTGTGAGGCTTCGGGTTGGATAAATGACTTTTTTTTCATTCATTGTGAAATATTTAAAGAGTTAGGGAGCAGGTGTCTACTTGTTTTGTTTGGCTTTTTTTGTGTGTGTGTTTGTGGATTTCTGCAGAGACTGGAACTTACCCTGGGGTTTGAAAGATTTTTTTTTTTTTAGTAGCTCCTGCTTAAATTAAGTGTTTTTTTTTTGGGGGGGGGGGGTTCCGTAGTTATAACGTTAATTGCATTTTCATGGTGCAGTTTACAGGTGTGTATAATTGATTCAGATTGTCTGAATTTAACCGAGTTGTAGGTTTACGTTAAATATTCATGCTTTCTTTTGGGAGGAGAGAGTGTAACCTTCTTTTACCTGGAAACCCCGGAGTCTAAATACCGTTCGTATAATTTCACTCTTGAGGAAGAGTCATTTTGGGTGCATTAAGAAAGTTTTCAGCAGGTACTTAACCCTCTCTTGGAGCTGATTATTTACCTTTATGATAGAGGACTAGTTAGCCTTGATTAGCTTGGCTTTCTTAACCCTTACACTTGAACTTAAAAATAGAGACTGCAAACTCCTTTAGATCTCACTGGTGGACTGATTCACTGGGCTGCCATTTTGGTTTCAGCAAATGCCTTCCAAATTCTTGGAAAAAAATATGCAATAAATTTACAAAGAAGTCAGCATTTGTTTTCTCAATTTTTAAAGTCATGTGCTTTGTCATATTTGTAACTGTAACCTTTAAAACTATTGTTTCAGTGTTTGGCTTGAGGGAAAACCTGAAGTATTCTGAATGGATATTCCAAGGGTGAACTCAAATGTTTTTGATATTTTCTAACATGTTTTGCTTTCTCTAATTTAAAAACGTAACTTTTAGACGATACCGTTTCTTCTCTTGACTCCTTTCCATAAAATTTTTCCCCCCTGTACATGTAACTGTTGTTAATTCTTGTTATCTTAATGTTCTGCTGTTTCTTTTGTTTGCTGACCTTGGTAGTTTCTGAGAATTTCTGGAGGGACTAAATAACAGCAAAGACACTACATGTGAGAATCTATATTCTTTCAAAAAGTAACTTCGAAGGGTAGATTTTACCTTTCACCAAATTATTGAGGTATCTTGTTGGTATCCCATAGCCCTCTTATTTTTAATATCGGTGAATGCTCAAGTAGGATTTACTCGGCTCTTTTGTCTTCCAGGATCTTGAAATACCTTTTCTGATATCTCAAGAAGACGAGAGATTTCGTGGATATCTCCTCAGAGATCATTTTTCTTTGACGTGGTATTAATAATGCTGCTTATAGTTTTGAAAATGGATGTGTGCCATGAATTTGCCAGTCATCCAGTTCTTGATTAATTGGATACATGCAAGCGTTCTTCTAGCGTATTTTTATTTCATGAGATCAATTTTAATGTCTTTATGCACTAGTTTCAGAATTTTAATAACCAATCCTTAAATCAGGTTAAAGAACTTTATTTGAAATATATACATATGTGCATTAAAGGATTATTTCTCTTTTGAATCTTTTGGCAGTAAGTGGTGGGAGGGGTTCTTATCCCATGGTTATTGAGCTACTAGTTGATTTTTGTTCTAAAAGAACGTAATGCTTTCATTTATTGCCCGCATTATATTTTCCCTTCTTGCTGGTAGGTTTTCGGAATCTTGAAATGGTTTTCATTTCAAAAATTGAGAAACAGAGGATTCTGGTTTCCATTTGGTTCTTTTTAAGAGCTATATATTTGAAAGCCGTCTATTATTAAGTTCTTGTATATTTTAGCATAGTCTTTTTTAACTATTTGGGGAAGAGTTAATACATTGACCTCAACTCTTATAATCAGTTGCGAGTTTTTAAAAACCTGATTCGGGGCTTGGGCAAAGGTATATTTTGAAAGCACTGTGTATGATTCTGATATGCAGAGTTGAAAACTTTTAAGCGGATAAATAAGTGAATGTATTTTCCCCAACTGTTTTCAGTTATCAGTATAATTAACTTTTATTGAGTATTTATTATATGTCAGCACTATTAAGCATTACATTTATTATGTACACAGTATTATTTCCATTACACAGGTGAGGGTCTGAAGTCTGTGGGGCTCAGCCAGTGGTACTTCAACAAATGTGCCATGTTAGTGAAAAGATATTGATTATTGTTTTTTTTTTTTTTTAAATTAGATCTTTTGAATTGTTTGCTATACCGGAATACCTTTACATTTAGTTTTAAGACTTATCAAAATGTAATTTGAGAAATATCTTTGGCAAGGGAGATGTTGAAACTTTGTAGCAAATAGGTTCTTTGTCTTCCATATGTCTGCCACAGTGTTCAGAGTGATAGTTAAGTTGCTGGGTTTGTTATGACTAAAATAATGTTAGACAATTTAACATTCCTAAAAGATGTAAAACAGGCATTTGTGCCTGATAGGTTATTTAAATTATCCCATAAGCGAATGTTTAGTATTGTGAAATTCTGTTACCTCAACTTGAAAATTCTTGAGTTTTATGTAGTTTAAAACTAGTTTAATTTTCACAAAAAACTTCAAAACTAAGGGTTTTGCTTTTGCATTTTTGTGGCATCATTTGATAATTGTTTCGTGGAATGAACAAAATAGCAATAACAGACATTTGTTTGATGTTTGTGTAATTTCTTTGATCCCCTTTGCTACATTCTGTGTGGGAAGAAGAAACTTAAAACTGTAGGATCTCTCAGCATTCCTTTTTTTTTTTTTTTTTCCCCCCAGTGCTGGGGATTGAACCCCAGAGCCTCCTGCATGCTGTAGCTCTACCAGTAAGCTGTACAACTATCCCTATGAGCATTCTTAATATGACATAAGATTATTCAAAGCTCTTTGTTAAATTATCATAGAAAATAGGATTTCAGTATTAAAGTTAATGTAATTTACATAAGGAAAAGGAAATATTTGCACATACATATTGGGGCTTGAATTTATCATTTAGTTATTACTATTGGTTATAAAGTGATGATCATTGTAATATACTTTTTTTTTTAATCTTTATTTTTATGTGATGTTGAGGATCAAACCCAGTGCTTCACACATGTGAGGCGGGCGCTGTTCCACTGAGCTACAGCCTCAGCCCCATATAATATACTTTTTAAGGAATGGAATGTGATACTGTATTGTTAAGATATTTGACCTAAAATTTATTCTAACATACCCATGTTAAGTCCTGAGGCCTTTAACATACACCCCTGTGTCCTATATGTATATTCAGGAAATGAGTTTCCAATTTGATTCTTAATTACTTCCAAACAGGGATTTTCTGCCTCAACTGTATATCAGAATCATCTTTAGAGCTTTTTCAAAGTATTTTTGCCTAGGTCTTATTCTCTCTAGATTGTAGTTGAGTAGATTTGGAGCAGGACCTGGGCATTTAAAATAAACTTCTGGTGTAGCTAGCTACTAAGGTATAGCTAGGGTTTGTTTGGCTGCTGCTTTTTTTTTTTTTTTGGCAGTTCATTTTAGGGAAAAGGGAGGTGAGACCCTTTGCATTTTGTTTTTTACCACTAGGCAGCAGTATTCTTGCATGAATTTAGTTTTGTCAGTCACATTGCCAAAAGTTCCAGACTCAAACACAAACAGTGAAAAATTCAGACACTAGATTAATAGGTGTCAGGTTAGGGATTACACACACACACACACACACACAATCTCATTCACATACGTGTAGTACGTTAGTTCGTCACTTTTGAGAACCTTATGGTTCAGCTCCAAAATTAGTATGTTAAATATCTGTGAAGGCATTGCTTTCCTTTTTAAAAATTCAGATATTTATTGGGGTCACATCCCTAGCTCTTGGTATGATATTTTAAAATTCTTCACTCTTTTGCTTATACTCTTCACTACTTGGAGTCACTTGACCCTAATAATCCTTCTGTGATGAGTCTTGGAATAGATCTTGGTGATAGTCAGACCCCCTCATTTTTCAGATGAAGCAAATGCATGCCTCAAAGACATGCAGTAGCATGACTAAGATAGGCATGTATAGATTACCTTTTTCATAAAGCTATTTCTGTATGCAACAAAGTACATTATTTTCTAAACCATTACTTTGTAATTTATAAAATTACTTTGTAATTTATAAAATTAACACTGAGTTTTCTCCCTCCTAATGGATATGGTCCAGGATTCTGTCCTTTTTTTGTGTGTGTGTATATTACAGATCCCCTAGGGTAATGCCGTTCACAATAACTGTAACTGATCAATCACACGAGCTCTGTACATGTTAGACGCATGTTAACCATTATCAAATGAATTGTTTGCCTTGGGATGATTTTGAGCTTGGTAGTCTTGGATATTAGATCCCATCTTCTGCAGTCCGAATTGGGACAAGAAGAAATTTAACCAACAAAGAGAGCAGGGGAAGCCTCCCATTCCTGCTTTTTATGCCCATTTCCTTCCTGTAGACTGGTTATTGAGGGTTGTAAGTTTTGGTTGTTGGTTACATCTTTTTCCATTATTTTAAAAAATATTTACTATTTTTTTTAGTTATGGTTTCACACAATACCTTTATTTATAGGTGGTGCTGAGGATCAAACCCAGGGCCTCGCACATGCCAGGCGAGTGCTCTACCAGTGAGCCACAACCCCAGCCCCTACTTGGAACTTCTTAGTCTACCCCTTAACTTTGACCTCAGAGAGTATGGAAATTGTCTTATGGTATTAGGCCCACATTTTACCTTAACAGAGTGTTTTGTCTGTGATCAAGATAATGTTAGAAGGATTTGGTTATTCTCCGTGATAAGACCTCTAATTCAGAGCAGAGATCAGCAAACCTTTTCTGTGAAGGCCCGGATAATGAACATATTGTACTTTGTGAGCTAAGGCAAAATCAAGGACATTGGATAAATTTTGTATTAATGAAATTAAAGATAGTCATGTATAATTCAAGTCTGAGTACAGTAGAATTTGGTGTTTGTGTAGGGGGTAATACACCATTTTGCTTAATTGGGGTTTAATCCCTATTATCAAATTGACGAATGTTTCTGTGTGAAATCCATTCTCAGTTTGTGGCCTAAATAAAAACAGGAGGATGAATTTGGTCTGTGACCATGGTTTGCTGGCTCCTGGCTACTAGCAGTGGTTCCCAAACTGGAGGGCTTATTAAAACAAATTGCTGTGCTCACCCTCAGAGTTTGATCCTGTTTAAGTTTGGAGTGGGTCCCTAGAGTATGCATTTCTAACAAATTCCCACACTGGGAATCATCCTTAGAGAAATGCTGACTTAAAGATGAATTCCAGCATATCCTACTTTTTCTTCAGGCTTATTACTTTGTCTAAATCTATCTTGAATCTTTTTTATTTTGTATTTTATATTAAATCCAATAATTGTGTATTAAATTGCCTATTATGTACATAGTATTATGTATTAGGTAATATACAAGGTAACAGGAATACAAGGTAAGAAAGGATTGTCCCTGTCATATATACTGGTTAGAGTGAATTTAAGAATCAATTTCCAGAAACACTTTAGAGGTTAAGAGTCTGTGAGACAACACCATTTTGAAAGCAGGCCAATGGTGTAAGCTAAACTGGAAAAGGGCATTGTCAAACACAGTAATATTTCATTAATTTGGTGTCTTGGGGGATAATGTTCTGTATAAATTAATTTTCAAAATACCAAAGCTTGCTACTTAAGCCATAATTTAATATTTAATGGAAAGCTTTCTAAAGATGTTATGCTTTCTGTAATTTGTATCTGATTGTGAAGTTAGTATGTTCTGTCATTAAGAAAAAGATTGGGGAGCATAAGGGGGTAAAAGATAAAGGGTAAACAAAAACCCTACCTCTACTAATTTCACCATATAGAAACACCCATATTATTTGAAAGGTCTATTTTCATTTATCTTTTATCTTTAATTAGATGGGAAATACTGTAGGTACACTCCCTCCCCATTCTATTTTTAAACTTTCTATAAATATTTTTCATAGCCCTATAATCTTTTAAATGAGTTTATCATTACATAACTTCCTCCATGTCTTTTAAATTCTTCTTCTTTTTCTTTTTCTCCTTTTTTTTTTTTTTTTTTTTTTTGTTATGCTGTGATGAACTTTTTGGGGTAAATGCTTTCCTCTGAATTTCTAATTATTAAAGATCCTCTTGAGTTACATAACCAGTTTAATAAGTCACATTTTCACAGATCTTCTGTCTTCTGCCTCAGGACTTGAGTATGTGCCATGTGTTCATCCTGAAAGGCTTTTTTGTTGTATTGTTTTGAGTCATGGTCTCAATATGGTAAGGTGCAGGCTGGTCCAAAACCCCTGGACT